GTTCGTGGTGCCGTTGCAGAGCGCGTGCGATATCGCGCCCACTGTAAGAAGCAATGACAATTTTAAATAACAACGTGTGTAGAAAACAAACTATCTTTATTGTATGTTTTCTTATATTCTACTCACTGGAGGCGCCGCGCGGCAAGGACTTTGTGAGAGTCTCCAGCTCCTGGACCTTCGACTCCAGCATGGATTGCCTGTTGCGAGAGTCCTGCTGTGCTCGCCGCAGCGTCGATACCTGAGATATAACATTACACACATTTAATATATCAGTGAGTATAGGAACTATAAATTGTTGCAATATGTCTTCATAAATAAATTACCTCTTCGACGACTTGCCGCCGAGCCTCCGCCAACTGATCTCTTTCTTGTCGTACTTGTGCTAATTCTGCCTCCAGTGTCGCCAACTTTGCTATTGCATCTCTTTCCAGTGTTGCTAGCCTCTCGTGTGCCTGGAAATGTTCAAAAAAAGGTTCATAGATGGGGAATAAGGGTAGGAATACCTATCTATAGAGATAGTACATGTAAAAAATGTCACTTACATGTCCCAGCTCGTCTTCAAGTTCGTTGACCTTCTCCAGCGCCGCTGTCTTCGTCTCGCTGTCCTCCATCAGCGCCGCCACGTCGAAAACGTTGTCTAAGTACGCTGATATTTGTACCTAATAAACATAACACAAATAAAATACATCAATTTTGTCAAATTAAAAATGCCGTGGCGAAAAGTCTAAACTATTTAGTTTTTTTAGTTACGCCATCTATCGTCAACATGCCTGCAAGTCTTCACTCTCACAGAAGCGCAGGCGCTCGAGGTAGTCGTCCAGCTTGAGTGCTGTGAACTCGTACTGCAGATGCACGCGGAAGTTCATGTCTTCCACTGAGTGCACGATTATGTTCACGAACTGCATGCACGCCACCTACGATACAACGCATGGCTGTCATTAAAAACATCATTTCCCCTGCTTTATCCTACTCCCGTAGGATCGGCGCACCGGGTTTTTGTCCTGCAAAGAATTCTATCATCCGTCATCTCAGTCATCACTCCCTTTTTGATCATGTCACCTTTCACGCAATCCATCCATCTCTTTCTATGTCTATATACCGATGTACCCCTCCACATTCATAACTAACGTCCTTCTTGTTACTGACTGTCATTAAACTGTCCTGTACATAATTATAATTCATCAATAACATCTGTAATATGAAAATATTTGCTGGAAGTAGTACAAAAAATGTATTTGAAACAATTTAGTTACAATTGTCTTGTTAATATGTATGTTTGCACAAATGGATTAATTAAATGTTGATTTAACATGAGTCAAACGAAAAACAACAGACATTTTATAAGGTTTTTTGGAATGTAGCAGAATAACTTACCATAAACTCGATATGAAACGAATCATAATTCATGAAGTACTCCATGAGGGTATGGAAGCGGCGCGGCTCCCCGACAACCTCCTTGAAATTATCGAAAGCGCCCAGGATGATCTGGTGACCGCCTTTCACCAGACAGATGGCGGCGAGGAGTTCCAGCACCAGCGCTTTCGTGCGCAACGACTGGTGTACCATCGAGAGCGCTATACTGTTGATTGCCTCTCGGTGCTGGATCACCATGTTGAACCCATACTGTTCAACAATAATAATTATTGTGGGTATACTTCGAAGAAGGTTTAGCCTAGAGATAATAGATGTTCAGATGGACGCATTTTCCGCAAATTAAAATAAGGGACGTTGTTTTATTTCTAACACCACGGATGTCAATAATAGCAACTTTTAGGAGAGAGAAAAAACTGCATAATTCTGCAATGATATTGTTATAATATAAATTTACTGTATGTATATATTTTATTATTGTTCTATTTAAACGAATACGTATTTGTGATAGGCTGAAACGATACGTCTTCCGATTCCTTAACGAATGACATCAAAATGTCAAATAACAAAAATGAAACACGTGATGTTAGAACTTCAAGGACGACAAATGTGATGCAGACAATATCTATATTGTTAATGCATTCAAAGCAAGGCTTGTGTAGACATTTCTTTAGGCAGTCTTGCGTACCTTGTTGTTCATGATGGCGCGCATGCACATAATGCAGACGTGTATGTCGTCGGTGGAGGCGCCCATGTTGAGTCGCGCTGCGTGTCGCGTGCGGCGGCGCGCGGCGGCCGGGCTGGCGCGCTCCGACTCCCCGTCAGCCGAGCGCGCGCGCCGCACCCAAGTACCGCCCAGTCCACCGCCCAGAGCCCCGCCCACCTCTGTCGGACCGCTGCACTCCGATGTCGTTGTATTCACTGATCACATAGATACTCACTTTGCAGTCTTTTTTTATTAGAAGGTGGCAAACGAGCAAACGGCCACCTGAAACCTTCTATCTATCTATTCTATTTTCTGAATTACGCCTGTCTTCTACGCAGAACACCATCACCATTCCACGACCACACGGTCGTGGTATTTCATCGCGCGACCCGACCCATTCGTGTGAAGATATTAAAGCGGGCTCTACTACTGTACCTGCACATTGTCCACTAGATACTGTATTTATAAGCGGGCTGTGCATTTGCATGCACAGCGCGCTCATAGTAAGCAATGTGTCAAGTGTATAGGGTGTAAAGAGATCCTTCTACGTCCTCTCGATATCTAAAATTGTATATTGCATGTGTGAAGTCCTGAAGTTTGTATATCAATGTAGTATACCTTGATTGATACCGTCAGTAGACTGACTGCGGGCGAGCGCGACGCGCTGTTCGTGCCGCATCATGCTCAGCCTGAAGCTGAGGTAGTCGATCAGCACGTCCAGACCCTGGTTTTGCTCGTTCAGGAATTCACGCACCCATCTGATATTTGAAATATTTAGAATAACAACTGAAAACTACAAGTTTAGAATTATTTTGTAAAATAGTTACTCACTCTATGTGATTGGTCCGTAGTGATATCTCCAAGTCCCTGAGCACCTGAGTGGATGTTGAATCTCCGACCATTTTTCTTTTCTGAAATAAAAAAAACAACATAATTCATTAGATACAGGCCATTAAGAAAAAATCGTTAACAAAATAGTAATAAGGTTTGCTTTTTTTGCTATAAGGAATAAGTGTTATCGTCTGACTCCCGATTTCGTATTACGCTTTGGTTGATTATTTCACCATCTCACGCGATTTTACTTACGCTTTTGTCTGTTTTTTGATTGGCAGCGGTTTTGATTATACCGTCTGCGTTGAGAACACGATTTGGGTAAATCGTACTGTTTTTTAAAAAATGTAGCTATTACCAAGAACGCAATGGAGATTGGTAGATCATTACATTTTGCAAGGTGTAGTTTTAACGTAATAAGTAAGACAGGAAATTGGTCATAAGCAGGTGCAAGTATCAGTTGCAAATCTCGACAATAATTTAGTTAATTAATCACTACCAACTTACTGGGAACTAGAAGCGACTACAAACGATAAAATTAAAAATAAAACGTGTCTTGAATACAGTTAACGTCTTGTATGCAGCCAGTGTGTAGTGGCTATGAAAAATTATAGTACCAGATATGCAACTAACGTCATTATCTAGCGTTGCCTAGGTCATGCCGCTATTCAGTCGGTCGAGATTTCCCTAGCGTTTTGTCCTTATACGTTGTGTGGCATACCACGCCGTGCTTTCACGTTCACTACGCCCACCACGTATCAAACACGGCGCAAGTTACTAACTTCAGTGATAAGAAAACGCTTTTAGAAAGTAATTTTAAAATTTCTAGAACCATCTATAGTTCCATTACATCGTTATTCATCAGTCAAATACATCATTTTGTTAGTTAAAAAGAATTGTCGCTATTATAAAGCTCTACGTGCTTAGTTGTGACATTTAACTGAAAAGGTTCGAACTGTTTAGTTATAACTGTAATTAAAAACTATCGTAATAGAACAGACCATATGTTAATTAATTAATCGATTCTTTATTAAATTTTTTGTCAAATATCTGCTCTCTGTTAACTATGTACTACCTTATCCTATTCGACAATTTATCCTAAATCACTTATATAATATCGCTTATAGCTTCTCCTTGCGCTGCAGAACAAATTAAGCACAACACGTACTAAATATCTGAGTCAGAGGTAATTGATGCGCAGGCGCAGGGGATCGTTAGCTGACCTCTGGGCGCGCGCCGCACGTCGCGACCAATACGTGTAACTAACGATCTATATGGGTCATTGTCGGAGGTACAGTCGCGGAAATCCACAGTGCTTCACTTTAAAAATAATTGCCTTCTTTATTGCAATGAGACCAAATCCGTGGTGCAAACGAAAGGATAATAAAAATAAACTACTTGTTGTTCCGCGTCTCGTTTCAAAACTATAGCGTTTAAGGTGGAACACCGCCAGTTTTCCCGATTGTACATTAGAACAACTACTTGAATATAAGTTCAATTTAAAGTTTGTTTTGTATAGAAGACTGTTCCAATTTTTTTACGTAGATACAAAAGGTAAAGACTAGTAACAAAGCACACACCAGCCACCAATATTCCAGATTTTCCGTTTGTTTATGTTTGTCGCTTGTCAGACATCTACCTGACAGGTGAGGTGTAAACATTCTATCAATTGAAGTGTTAGACAACTAATTGGAGTGTTTTCGTAACTATTTCAGATCCAAACCCCTGTAGTCTCATCAGACGCTGAGCAATGAGCTGGGGTGAGTTACTTCCAGCCACTTGAGCCTAACCCCTGCCCTCGCCGCACAAAACATAAGCATTATCTTCAAGAGATCCGTCTGTAGGGTGCACACGAGTAGCATATAAAATTAATTGGTACACCTGTCTATACATCACTACTGAGAACTACAACCAAAGTGTACACCGTCTCCGAGAGATTACCTAATTCGCAATCATATTCCTTTTTAGGTATTTGACGTATTGTCTTTAGGATGGGAATACACTGGCAAACACCAGTAACAAGCAAGTGGTGATTTCAACCTAGCACGATAATCGTGATATCTAAGGGGACTCAAGTTGTGTTGTACACAAGACTCGTATCCAAGCTACTATTATATTACTAGCATGTGTATACCCGCCCTTAGTATAAGAACCAGGTAGGACCGCTGTCATACTCAATAGATCACACTCATGACGCAGCCCACGGTACGTCTCATGAATTAAGGTGACTCATTGAATGTGAGTAACGTCGTAATTAGTATACGACCAAATCGTTACTCACTATCGAATAAGATTGATCAACTCATCGTGTTAATCAAAAAGCTTGACCTTTCATATAATAGCAACTCATATAAGACAATAGTAAACCAACGAGTAGATGACATGATCGTTGCCAGAAACAAAACACACTCGTCATCAGTTTTCTAGTTGTGATCCAGTGTAACATTAAGTACATGTTTTTTTTTTCTTCTACTATTTTGTAAAACTGCGTGTTGTGTTTTTAGGAATCATTAAAAACCGGCGCTTCGGTGTACACCGAGCACATGCCGAATAAATCGCTTTTCATTTTTTTTAATAAACTGATTTCTTTCTTTCTTTCTCTCTCTCTCTCTCTCTCTCTCTCTCTCTCTCTCTCTCTTTCTTTCTTGCAGTATATTAACTCAACAGACTTTAATACTAAGTCAACAGTTTCTAATACTACCTCAACAGGCTCTATTACTAACTCAACAGTACAATAACAGACATCAATGTGCCTAATGTACAGTACTCGCGCGCCATGTAAATCGACAAGGCGCCGTGAACGCCGTCATCTTATTGCACATTGTGTGAAACGAGTCGTTCGCAACCGTCTGCATACTAGTCATTGCACGCGGCTGCACTTGTTATCTACCAAATTAGTTATTCTATTACATATTGAACCTACTGAGGAGCCCTAGTAGTTCCGGTTTGTCTTTACAAGAACTGTAAAATACAAACGATAATTATAAAACAATTTAAGAGACACAACCAGACAAACTACACAAATAGGTGTATACGCAGTGTAGGCAGTATCATGTTGATCTATCGACCATTGTTCGGATAGCGGTACTGCACGTTATGGTGGGCTAGCAATACCCACCCTGAGTTTTAATAGCCTTTACACATATATCTGGTAAGGATTGTAGGTGTTAAAGTTTACGGATTTAACAAAATCGCGACATTATTTCGACATGTACGTGTAGGCATTGCTTAGTTTTGTTTCGCAAAACACTGTGGGCTGTCAATTGCTAAATATTCACAACTTCGTACCTGCGAGTGTTATCTTGAATTAGAATGTATTACAGTTATTGTGCGGTTCTAACGCGGGCTAGTTGCATTACTTGACATGTTTATGTTCAGTAACAAAGCAGGGCTGTCGTCTATTTACCTGAATGTATCCAATTAAATCAACAGATATAGAAAATGTATACTCTATAGTGTTATCGACCTCATTTCCGGTGTACGAAAAATGCATGGGTATTGGCGAAAAAACAATGGATACGGTTGTTGTATTGACTTTTATTATAAAAGTGCGATATATTTGCATATCTGAGTATAGTGGCAACACCGCTCTTTCTGACGGTTCTTTTGTATATCATTATAAAAATTGTCCAGTCCAGTGGGCACAGTACAGTTTGTAGTCAAAGTATTTGCCGTAGTAGCGGTAGATTACAGTAGTGCAGTAATGGAATTAAATTAGCCCCCCAGTTTACAATATACAACTAAGACTGCATTTCAATCTAGAAGGCTTCAGAGGCACTTTAAGCGAATTAACTTGAGTGTATTTATTGAGGCATATGGTCGTATAATTATCATACACAGGTAGGGGCGAGTGAAGTAATCCGATATGTTCAGTGAGCCAGCCACAGACAGTAACCGCGCTCCCACGGCAACGTGGTGGCCGATGGACTCCGCGAATGTGCATTTGTACGATTACATACGCCTCATCAAGTTCACGTAGTAAATAGGACTTGTAGTCTTTACGATAAGTACTGATTATAGTATAAATACGAAAGTTTAGATGAATGGATGTTTGTTAGAGTTGTAGCCTATCTGCTGAACGTATCTCGATGAAATTTGACATAAATGTAGAGAATAGTCTGGATGAACACATAATCTACTCAGTCTTTTTTTAAATTCCACGCGGAAAAAGTCGCGGGCTAAAGCTAGTTATGAATAAAGATTCAACTGCTGTAGGAAGTTATATGATATTGCATTCATTAAAGCTATAAATGGGCTTTAGACTAAGAAATACCCGCATGTTCACATGCATTAGATCAGGATACAAGCTGAGGAAACCCTTTCTTATGTTAAATCGCCACTAAGGGATCTTTGGCGATTCTGAGTACGATAGCAACTACTTTTGAGTCTAATTCTATTTATAACGAAGTATTTCTTCTCTCTTACTCTGTGACTCCGTGATGCTTTGGGGTCGAGGTAGGTGCGAAGTTTATTAAGGTAGTGCGCTGGTGAATCCTTGGCTTGCACCATGTCTTGGTCGCAGATGATTTCCCATTTCTTCTCCAGGTCATAATTGCGTAGGAGCTTTGCTTTATCCGGAGGTAGATCCATAGACGCCTGAAAAAGAAAAAAGTTATAAGAAAAAAATACTCCTGATTTTTATTTTTTACTAGCTGTTCCCGTGCGACTTCATCCGCATAGAATTATGAAAATTTTATTTTATTGTTTACATTTGTCAAATTATCAATTGCAAATGTCATAATGACATAACATGATGACCAACCATGGCAACCTTGCTTCCTTGATGTTGGCAGCAACTTATGGTCTCTTTCCCACATTAGGGTTTTTATCCAAAATATTTACTCCCTTAGTTTAATGGCGTTAAAACATATAGCCTAAAGCTTGAGGTAAGTGTAGGGCTTTTTATTAAAAAAAGAATTATTTAAAAATATGCTGTAATTGCTGACATCTTAGGCAGCAAAGAAGTGTGTGTTTACGCTTTATTATAATAGTTAGATTTATTGAGATAAACCAACAGGACAAAATTATAACACATATACATTTTCACACAATACAGTAAGTAACATGCAGATAATTTGTCGTAATTGTAGTTTATAATATAATAGAAGAATAACAACAGTATAACAGATAGTTCTTATCTATTTTTATTGAACCCAAAACGTAACATTTAAATTAAATTTAAGCGATAACCTCTCGTAGAAATATTTTTTTAATTCATCAAGTTGGCGCAATGTTGTAAGTAAGCCTAGTGTCAGTTTGTCGATTCTGATAACATTAATAAATCATACTATGACGTTGTTTTGAGCGTGAGTGCATTGTGAAACTGCATCGTAATATTATCTGTCCGATGAATTAATGATTTACAATTCTAAGACAAAATATACCGTTTCTAACTTAGCATATTGAAATATCGCATATAATGTACAGCTTCCAAACGTAATCATAATATTTATGTTCTATCTATCTACCATATTCTATTCTATCTAAATTATAAATGCGAAAGTTTAGATGGATGGATATTTGTTAAAGTTTGTAGCCTAAACGGCTGAACGGATTTCGATGAAATTTTGGTACAGATGTAGAAAATAGTTTTAAAGAACATATGGGCGACTCACTTTTGATATTTTTTAATTCCACGCGGACGGAGTCAATGGCGAAAGCTAATATTTATTATAATCATAATTATCTAGATTATTTCTATAGTTTACTGCGACCAGATAGAAACCATACCATACAACTGTGCCTTAAAAAACAACATTATGTCGAGTTTGACAGAATGAGAACGTTGGCGTAAGTTTTTATGAGATATCTTTGCCAATTTTTTTAATTTACATCATAGATACATTGGAACTACTCTCCTATCAATCTTGTCTAATAAATCATAATCCCACACATGAAAATCAACGTGGGTTTTTCAAGACAAAACTTACTCAAATTAGCTTTAGTTGTGTACAACTAATCAACTTGCTTGTATCATGTTGTTTTGTTGTTCTATGTAGCAAACTAACGCGCATATCAGGAGGATCAGCAGTGAACCAGTTCCAGGGAGAGGTCGCCACACGCCTCGGCCGCGTCGCTAACGGGACACCAATCCGACGCACATAGGGTTACCAAGTTCCTTTATCATACGCGCGGATACGCACCTTACTTACATATTGTTATTATCTATATTAATATTACAATTTGCCCGCGACTTCTTCTGCGTGGAGCTAAAAAAAAACAAATGTAAGTAACCTATATGTTCTTCCAGACAATCCTCTACATCTATACCAAATTTCAACTAAGTCCGTTAAGCCGTTTAGGCTAAAAACTCTAACAAACATCCATCCATCTAAACTTTCGCATTTATAATATTAGTATGAAGCATGATAAAGAGGAAAGATTTGTATTTTAATATGTATTGAAATAACTCGAAAACTACTGGGCCGATTGCAACAAATATTTCACTATTAATAAGATACGTTATCTGTAAGTAACACAGTATAAGTTTTACTGTTTTTTAAATTCCACATGGACAAAGTCGGGAGCAACAGCTAGTTTATAATACAGACTTTATTTAGAATTCGTTGCAATAACTTACAGATAGTTTCCACAGAGGTAAGATGTGAAAAATAATTGGTAGTTGATAGTTCTAGAATTAAAAATACATACAAACAGATATTTCTATACTATAAGTATGACATAATGTGGAGAAGCTGCACTCTCCTTGAGGCATTGTCCTGTGAGCTGGCATCCGTCCAAAGGACGTAACGAGGCCGATAGTGTATCCTTTTAAAACGATTGCCTTCTCATATTATATAAATACATAGTTTTATTATAAACATTAGCTTTTTTTATGTTAATAAATGCAATGGGAATGCGCTTTATATATTGACTGTAATAAATGTAAGAAATCAACCTTACTAATATTATAAATGCGAGAGTTTAGATGGACGGATAGATGTTTGTTAGAGTTAGTAGCCTAGACTGCTGAACGGATTTCGATATTTGGCATAGATGTGGAGGATAGTCCGGAAGAACAACAGGACTACTCACTATTTTTTCACGCGAACCGAATCGTGGGCGAAAGCTGTTTTGTTATATACTAACATATAGATTCAATTATTAAAATTATCTCAAATAAGTATAATTACAACAAAAAAACCAATCAAAAGACCGCACACTATGTATGAATAACTAGTTTGAACTTATAATATAAGTTAATTGCATTTATGGTATAAACGCTCAATAAAAAACATAACATATAGATAAGTGCTATCAAATTAGCTGACGGTTCGATAATTACAGACGATAGAGAGGCGATAATTAATTGCTTATAATAGGTAGCGATATTAATTCGTAAACAAAATGTATGCCAAGGTGTTGATAGACTGTAGTCGGTATTAACTAGGCAATAAATGCGATATTGGTAGAGCAAGCGAGGTTAGAAGTCGAAAATAGTAAGTGGCGCATTAACATAGATGAGCGGTGATCGGCCGATCAATTATGAAGCGGCCGGTGCTATCCCACGCGTTCGGATGTTGTGGGTGCAAGTTATAAACTACGGGCGGATATACACCAACTGCTGGAAATATTCGATACCGCCTACAAACTACTGACTTCCAAGGTGTAAACTAGTGATTGTTGTCAGCGACTGCTTCAAGCTGTTCGTGTATGCGTCTTAAGATTTATTTAAAAATAACAAATATGCAAACGTTTTGATTACGGTTATGACAATGTACGGCTAAATAAAAAAAAAACCTACATAAAACTATAAAAATAAAGATTTGTTGATCTTGCATAAGTTGATTACTTGCACCGTACATGCGTTATGTAAAAATCGGTGCAAGTTGGAGGTGAATGACCCGCAGGTACACTAACTGCAAACATTGAATTGGGCGTTCACGTATTGCTACACGACTGCACACTTAGATCGTGCGTACACCTTTGATTAAACTATCGCACAACTGTTGTGCGAGACTAAATAATTGTGTGATAGTTTAGTCTTAGCAAACGTTTGAGACACAGCCAAATACAAGTATTTAAAACATCGTCCACTTTAAGATGGTAATTATTCTTGGAAGTTAAACATAACTATGAGATAAAATACATATTAACAGACATAAAGTAAATTATTTAGTTTACTATCATCATTACTACTAAGTGTGTCAACGGATCTATAAATCTCGAGTTTGTTGCGGATGTCCAGGGCAACGGTAGCCGCATATCAGCTACAAATACCATAGAAAGATTTATAGTATTACATTCCATTAATTATGTTACCATCAGTTGAACTAGTCACCTTATCTTTGGTTAAGAATGTAAAAAGCGTATACCATGATATTCAAACCGTAAAAAGAGCACAAAAGTAATATAGGGGTTATAAATCATACTAATATTATAAATGCGAAAGTTTAGATGGATGTTTGTTTGTTAGAGTTTGTAGCCTAAACTACTGAATGGATCTTGATGAAATTTGGTATAGATGTGGAGGATAGTCTGGAAACACATAGGCGACCCCGTTATGTTTTTTAAAATTCCACGCGGACGGAATCGCGGGAGAAAGTTAGTCTATACTAATATTATGAAGAGGAAATACTTGATTGTTTATTAGCATTGTATATGCTTCGAGACTAACGAACCGATTTGAATATAACTTTGCCTATTCAGCAACGGGATGGGTATGGACATGAAAAAAAGAGTTGTGAGACGTAATATCTTTGACACCCTGAGACGCTGGGGTGTATCGCTAGTTCGATAAAATCACTTAGACAGAAGCTACTTGTAGAACCGAAGACTCGCTTTCCGTTTACGCATCGCTACAGTTCTCAGTATTTCTGATATACAGCTATGTAACAAACGGACAGACCAACGACCTATGTTCTATCCTATTCATGTATCGATAACCTAATTTTATGAATGAATGTGTATTCACATCTTTACGCTAAACAAATTAACACGTGTGAACATTTTTACTTCCTCTCCACATGTGTTTAAAAATATTCACACATGAAAAATATAAGTTAACTAGCTTTCGCCCGCGACTCCGTTCGTGTGGGATTAAAAGAAACAAAAGTAAGTAGCCTATGTGTTTTTCCAGACTTACCTCTACATCTGTAGTAATTTTCACCGAAATCCGTTCAGCAGTTTAGGCTACAAACTCTAACAATCATTCATACACCCATCTAAACTTCCGCATTTATAATATTAGATAGTTAGATTACATTTGTTTTAACTTAAAAACAAAAAAAAATTATTTCGTAAAATTGTTTATGTACACAAAAATCAATTTAAGACACACTGTTTTATTTTACGCGTAATAGTCAAATGCTATAGGAAATAAACATTTCTACCTATTTCATGTTTTACGCAATCGAATCGTAATCATTCACTTAGGACAAAGTTCATTTTTACTAACCTTTTAGAACATAAACGGTTTGTTTGACTACAAGAGTCACGGTTACGTTTGATAAGACGTTCATAGTATGAAATATGAAAAACAAGCTATAAAATCTTAATAAATGTAACTCATAATTCAAACTTCATGCAGTTTTTTCTATTACTTTCATTAGCCTAATATTGCAGTTAAGATCTTGGCGGATTTTTTGCCCAAAATC